TTTTAAAACGTGCCTGCTTATTTCTAAACGTTAAGTGTTTCACTCTCTCCTCCATGAAAAAGAAGTATGAGAATACTTATTTATATTTTCTGAATCAGATCGGTAGGTGCTCCTTAGATTCCTCATGTGGGTTCAGCAGTGGACATGCTGTTGGATATAAAGGATATCAAACACATCTTTTCCCCTAAAGGTCTTTGATCCCTGGGAGTTTTCAGTGATATACCCTCAGTATGGAAGTGATAGATTGGGGCTGATCCCTAATCCTAGGGATCCATAATCCTAGTTGATCCCCCTCTGATCCACTGCATGCATTTTAGAAATGATTTTACCTAGTGGTTAGTATATTTTTTTTCTTTTTTGTGTGTATGTATGTGTTTGTCTGTGTACGTATTGTTAGTACATGTATTTATGGCAATGAAGTTAGTATGGTCTTAAAGGAACAATACCAGACTTTAAAATACTGATTCTGCCACTTAGCTCTGTGACCCAAAGAAAACTAATTAACCTCTCCAAACCTTTTACGAGAACAGACATGAAAACAATCTTTCTCAAATATCTCAACACTTTGGTGCAAGGCCTGGTTGGCACTAATTCACCCTCTTATTCAACAAAGGTTTAATGAGCCCCTACAATGTCTGGGGCCGGAGGAACATAATAAACAAGGCAAACCCCGTCTCCTCCACTGTGGAATTTACAGACCAATGGCAACTCATTGCCTGTTTTCACTAAAAACACACATGCATGCCTAAAAACACTCCTTAAACTGTAAAATGTCTATCCTCCTTTGCTTTCTCTACTTTGAATTCCACTCCAACCTGTTAACCTGGGAGTGGCACCAGCTTTGGAATCTAACAGATGCAGATCAACACACAACGTCTGTCGTGTATCCGTCATTCTTGCTCTAGAGTGTGACATCAGAAGACTGTTCGCATTCGAAGATTTAGGCACTCCTTTCTTAAGAAATTCTATAGTCCATAGCGAGGGTTACATGGTTTTGCCAAGGCAAGGTCTGAATCCCGTATGTGGTGAGGGGGATCAGGATATGCTGCCCCCAAATATGCCACTTTGACATAAGAAATACTTTAAGCTGAAAGGATTTGAGACGCAGCAGGTGCAGGAAGGATTCTCTGCCCTCGGAGGGATATCTAAAGGAATCCAAATGAACAGGCCTTGATACACTTCCCCCAGTAACTACCTTAGTTTCTACCCTTTTGTCCCATCACATTTTCCCATGACTTTCCACTCCTCATCAAAACTTAAAAAGCCACTCAGGTTCAACTATTTCTTAGAATCATCATTTCCTTATGAAGGCTCCCATCTGGCATAAAACTTATATGAAAGAAATGTGTATGTTTTTCTCCTGTTAATCTGCCTTTTGTCAGTCCATTTCATGGGGTCCCTCGCTGGAGAACCTCAGAAGGTGTTGGGAAAAAGTGTTCCTCCCCCACAGAGGCGAGGTTGGTCTGTGAAGGCAAGACCTTTAGCTAGTAAGTAAGCCAACCCTAGTGCCTGCATCTCAACTCTGGTTTTCTTCTTTTCATTTAACAGATTTTATTTAGTCTTTGCAACTACTCTAAGAGGCCGGTATAACCATCCTCATTGAACACGTATAGAAACTGAAAGTAACTGGACACTATAGTGGCTTTTGAGCATTTGAAAATCCATAAGGATCTTGTATGGTCACCCTCTAATGTTCAGGGTCTAAGAGGTGGTTTCTGACCCTGTCTGCACTTAGAATCCACCTAGGTGCTTTAGAAAATACTGATGCCCAGCCCCACTTCAGAGGAGTTAAATCAGACCATCTGAGAGCAAAGCCCAAGTATCAGGACTTTTTAAATGCTCTTCTGATTTTCGTCTGGGTAGAGGTTGTAAGGTGACAGTCCATGAGCCAAATGTAGCCTGCAAACTCCTAAAAATCAGAAGATTGTACATAATACCCAGATTCTGGCTTCTTCTACACCTGTGCTGCCCGATGTGGTAGCCATGAGTCACACGTGGCTATTTAAGTTTAAATCAATTCAATTGAAATAAAATTAAAAATATGGTTCCTCAATCATACCAGCCACATTTCAAGTGCTCAGTAGCCACATGTGACTGCCTTACTGGATGATGCAGGTATGGAACGTTTCCATCATCAATACAATGGCTACTACAATCCTATTTCAGTCTAATACAATTCTATCGGACAGCACTGTTCCTAAAAATCCAAGGACCTAAGCCCACTTTCCAATAAGACAACAGGGTCGTTGCCTGCTTTAGACAAGCCACATGCTTTCCCGTTGGCAGCCGGACTCCACTCATTCATGTCTGTGACCTGCCCCCTCCCTTAGATGACATACCCAAACCCTGCCTAGCCATTATGTGAGTTAAATAAAACTGGTGCAGAGCCTGATTAGAAACAGATTCAAATTCTTTACCTCTAAAGCTTAACTGCACATGTGCTGTGTTCCCTCTGTCTCCCCACCTCCCTCCTTCCATCTCCCTCTCTGTTTTTACTGCAGTGAGAAGGTTAACTTATATGAGAATAGATTCTACCTGACAAATGGCCTGCAAGCCTTTGGAGTCGATCTCTGCATGAATATGTACTTGTCCTGCATGGTTCCCTATGCTTCGAAAGATCAGATTTTCATCTGGGCAAAGGCCCACCAATGAAGATTCAAAAACACTCCAGTTTCCATAGAAATGGTCACTTATTCCTGTGAGCAACAGGGTTGAAGGTAACATGCATTCTTTCCCATTCTGGACAGTTAGCCCTATTGGGCCCAAACCCTTGCCTGATCTGCTTCAAAAGCCCTTTCCAGAAGCTGCCCCAGTCCTCTAAAAGTGGAATGTGTTCAGAGTTTGTTCGGTGAACCATGGAACCAACTGCCATTCGGTCACAACAGAAGAGCTGGATGTGGTGTAGAAACCCACAATACCAGTCGACTCGCCTCACACTGAACATCTGAGAATGCCAATGGAAGATTTATATAGACTGTGAGAATCTCGAAACCTCTCACACTTTGCAACAAGATCCATGAGAAAGTTTAGAAGGCAGCCTAACTCCTCAATGGGAGAAAATTTATACAACACTCTGTACAGGATTTGACAAGGACTAACCCCAACAGCCACCATCAAAAAAGAGTTATGAACCTCACATACACACTAATTTGGGATTTGATTAAAATCACCTCTAACAACTGCCAAGACATTCTCTAAACTTAGCTTTCCTTATTTACTCCAGGACTCTTTTTGCATCTAGGGTTCGCAAAAACAGTTAAGTCAGCTTCTCCCAACCGCTATTTATGAACGAATTTAAGCCCTAGGAAACACAGAAATTGAGTCGTATTGGAGTTTCAGTTGTCAGTACATAAAATACAAAAGGCAGAATGGTGCCAGGAAGAGATTTTTAAAAGGCAACTGCTTTACCACTGCATCAGACCCTACACCTGGAATACAGATGCTCCCAAGCAGGTCAGCCCCATCTCCAGCTCAGGAGCACCAGGTAAGGCCCAGAGTCAGGCAGCAGGACAGGGAGGGGACAAGTCACCAGAAGAAGGACCTCCCTCCTCCAGCTATCAAACCTCAGGGGGCCATTGCCAGCCAGCTGATGCATCTGTTCTCAGCTAAAAGTAGGTAAGAAGGAAGCCCCTGGAAGTTGAGCCCCAGGGGAGAACACGTTAGGGTAGGAGAGGAGGGAATGGAGGGATTACTCCAAGGTAAAGAGAGGGAAGATGATCATAAGAAAAAACAAAGGTTGGGGCGCCTAGGTGGCTCAGTCATTAAGCGTCTGCCTTAGGCTCAGGTCATGATCCCGGGGTCCTGGGATGGAGCCCAGCGTCAGGCTCCCTGCTCAGCGGGAAGCCTGCTTCTCCCTCTCCCACTCCCCCAGCTTATGTTCCCTCTCTCTCTGTCTCTGTCAAATAAATAAATAAAATCTTTAAAAAAAGAAAAAACAAAGATTATTTATATGCCACAACGAAGGCACTCAGGTTCCAGAACCCAATATAGCATTTCTATTGAATGAACAGCATGCAACAGTAATCATTTTAACACTTCTGTTATATTCATCTCTTTCAAGAACATCCAGGACCTGATCACCAATATACTCTCAACAGAGAAACTCAACCACCCATTCCACGTGTTGAAGAACATTCACTGGTGCCAGGCACGGTGCTTCCACAGCATGAATGAAGGACACACTCCTTAGCAAAACAGGTAAGAACGCAAGGAGCCCTCACCCCTACCCACGCTGTGGTAGGCTAGCAGCTCTGCATTGACGCCCTTACCCCGGACTTGATTCCTGCGGGAGGAAGAATACACCAGGCCACAAAGACCCTCACGACCAGAATAGTGGTTTCTTTGGACCACAGAAAGGGAGCTCCTCAATCACATTTAAGCAAGTTAATAATCTCTTCAAGGCCACCTGGGGATTAAGTGGCTGAGCACAGAGTAGAAACGTTTCCCGCCACCCCCGCCATGGAGTAGACTCCAAGGTTCAGCATTGCAAACGAAAAGGAGGATTACTGTCCTCAGCTTCCTGCTGAGTGAAAAGCTGGACCTTGGAAACCTTACACAAATGTGTCTATCAAATCTAGAACAACACAGGAAGCTGTGGCATTCTTTTAAAAAAAAAAAAAAAAAAAAGGCAAATGACAAACTCAAGTAACTAATCTTCCACCCAGGATCATCCATCAGTCATGAAAGGTACTGCTTTTATGCCACAGCCAGTTGTTTTTTGGGTGGGTGGGTGGGTGTGTGTGTGTGGGTGTGTGTGTGTGTGTGTGAGAGAGAGAGAGTGGGTGTGTGTTTGGAGTGTGTGGAAGTTTTTTAAATGTCCACAATGAAAATGTACCCATCCTAAATATATTTCAAATTATTTCAGGGAACCTGACCACTGTGTAAATCAATACCACCTCTCTCAGAACGACCTTGTATAAAGATTAATTAACATAATCTACAGCAAGCACAGCATACTGCCTGACACATTCATACATACAGACAAGTAAGTAGTAGCTTACCATCTTCATGATAACAGTTGCTGGGGTGGCTCAGTCGGTTAAGCGTCTGTCTTCAGTTCAGGTCACGATCCCGGATCGAGCCCCACATCAGCTCCCTGCTCAGTGGGGAGTCTGCTTCTCCCTCTCCCTCTGCTCAGGCTCTCTCTCAAATAAATAAATAAAATCTTAAAAAATAGTAATAGCTATCATGTAAAGTCTGCTATGGACCAGGCCCTGAACTAGGCCCTTCTCTCTCTCACACACACACAGATTTCCCTGCAGCCCTACATGGGTGCTATCATTGCATCTAATTTACAGACCAGAAAACTGAGGTATGCAGAGATTAGAGCCGTTTGCCAAAGGTCACGCCGCCAAAGAAAAAAAAAAAAGAAAGAAAGCGCAGGCCAGGGTTCAATCCAAATTGAAGGTTCTTAACCAGCACACTGTGCAATTTCTCAACTCTAACAGCTGGGCAGCATTCACACCAAAAAAATATACCCTCTTTTACAATTCACACTGACATGATTTCAGGGGCCGTGTTTCTGTGGAGTGAGAGCAGGGTTCATCCACACGCGTGCCCCCCTCCAGCAGCCTCCCTCGTGCCGGGGTCAGCCCTATTTACTGACTGGCTGGTGCTCCCTGGGGGCGACACAGCCATCAGCAGTGGCAAAGCAGCTGGGATCCAGAACTAACATGCCTCCCCGCTCTCCGTCTGCAAGGTCACAGGTATGAGGAGCAGCACAGAGGCAGGGAACAGCGGCCCCATTCCAGAGAGTAAGTAAGTGCTTGGTTCTGAGGCTGCGAGAGAGAACAGGACCGCTCTGGCCATTGCCTCAATGCCTGCAGGGCAAAAATACAGCAAAGAGGCCACTGGAGGGGCCAGTCTGGCCCTTGGGAGGGAGCAGGAAGCCTGGGACCGGGGAGGGCGAGGCCAGGCTGCTGGACGGAAGGCCAAGGGTGAAGGCTGGCTGCCCGGGCCGGGGCTGACGGCAGGGCCAGCTCTGGGCAGCTGCAACAGCAGTCCCCACCTCAGAGACGGAGAACAACGCAGGGAAGGGACGACAACACAGCACAGGAACAGACACAACAATGGGAAACAGCGTTTGAAGCCAAATGCATACTAAACACAGTCAAAGAAAACAAGGAGGAGCTCTGAAGCCAAATTACATCCCTAACCATGTTCTCGTCAAAAAAAAAAACAAAAATGGATGGGCTTTGAACTATGGATGACTGCTTTGTCTTGCTTTTCTAACAGTGACAAATGGTCATCCGCCCTTCCTTCCTCAGCCTCCGACCGAACCAGTCCACCTTGGTTCCAATCCTGAGGTTTCCTAAAGTAATGAAGCAACAGCACACTGAGCTGTCCGGCCCCAGGTTATTTTCATGGGACTTAAGCATGATTGGCTCATGTGTAATGTTACAGAGCTTCCGGTTAAAGTAAGCAAACAAATAAATAATAAACAACAAATTTAAATTTTAAAAAAATGGAAGAGGAGTGGCGACACCAGACATCCTCCCCCTCAAGGAATTGGGAACATAAAAAAGGTTTCCAACTGCCTGCAGCCTTAATATCAAACACGGGCACGCGCACGCACGCGCACGCATACACACGCACACTCACGCACGCGCACGCAGCGCACTCCCTGGCCCTTAGGCTCCGAACTTAGGAGGGAATTTCCAGGAGTGCTGGCTTCCTTGACAGCCTGGAAAGAATGCAACAACACAGATCCATCTCCAGACAAGAAAACCACAGCTGGAGGCCAGAGGTGGAAACACCTCTTCCAAGGGTTCCTACTCCAAGGAACCAACTGCCGTATCTGGGTCAATTTCTCTAGCAGCAAACACCACAGGATGCAGGGCAAGTGAGAATATGAAAAACCATTGCACTGAGATTGGTCAAGCGATGGCTGAACAGACACACTCAGGACCGAGGCAACAGAATATGGTGGCTCATAGCCTCTGGAGGCTTTGGACTGAAGCCCCAGTTCACCCCCTCCGGTGGTGGTAACAGACGCTAGCTACCCCCTGCGAACGTGGGGAGGCCATAATGAATCAGCACCAGCGCGGTGAGGGCTCAGCGCTGGCTGGCTACCAACGCCCACTGCCATCTCTGTCACGAGACCAAGAGTGAGCTTCGGCTGGTCAGAGGGCGAAAGGTGACCTGAGCCTCGGGACTCCAAGTACTGGTCATCTAAACAAATGGAATTTTGTACCTACACTTTAGAGAGAAGAAATGATCCTTTGGTTTGTAGCCATGGTCAAATCTTCGAGCCCACAAATGCATTACAAGAGTAGAAAACGTCCGCACTAAAACAAAAACCTTTCATTATTTTTTCTCGAAAAACAAAACTGTAAGCTATTTTGCATTCTTTTTAGTTTCTCTTTTTTTTTTTTTTTTTAAGTATCTGATAGCACAGCATTAAAGACAATCTCTAAAAGTCTTTGTTGAGCATCAGAATGAGACAGCTGGGATATTGGCATGAGGAAATGTTCAATCTTGTCATTTTGCAAAAGGAATTCATATTCATAATTAATGAGGCTTTTGTCCATGCCAGAAAGAAAATCTAAAGGCTCAACTATGCTTAAGTAAATTCTACCCAAGCCAACTGCAATACAATTTTATAAATTATAGAGCAACAGGGAAGAACAAGATTTTATGAGTTGTGAGCCTAAAGAAAAAGACTAACATACTTCAAGGAAGAAATTGGCTTAAAAATATTAATTTCTGAAAGGATGGCTACATTTTTTTCTCCTCCATAAAAGAAACAGTATTTGAAAATTTTAACATCCTAAGAAAAAGCATGTATTTGGCCATCACTACATGTATTTGAAAGATTCAGTAAGTCTTTGTTTCAGTCTTTGTTTCTGAGTGTCAGATGGATGCCACCAGGAACAGAACCAGGACCACCATTATCAACTCAAAATATCAACTAAAAATAACAAAGATGCGCAGATAAATACAAAAGTAGCTTTGGTTCCAGAGGCACTACTATGCAGATATCGGTGGACAAGTAGAAAACTCTTAAATACTAGGGAAACATTTCAAAGAAATTTCCTTAAAGATAACTTTTCTCATTATGTGGCTGTTGAAGAAATACACAAAGATAAATCAGTGCTAGAGTAAAAGCTCATCACTGACCAAAGTTTTATTCAGCAACAACCATGTTGGGGGCTAAGGATATAATGATGAAAAAAATACAAAACACCGGCAGGGTGACTGCCAGATACTAGTGGAGGGAGTGGACAAGAGGAAGATAGGGATTACCTGCTTAATGTGTATGGGCTTTTGGTTTTTTTGTGGTAAAATATACCTAACGTAAAATTTAGCATCACAGCCATCTCTTTAAGATTTTATTTTTTAGAGCCATTTTAGGTTCATAGCAAAATGGAGAAGGGACAGATTTCCCATATACGCCCTTATCACCACAAATGCACAGCCTCCCATTATCAGTATCCCCCACCAGACTGTACATGTGTTATAACTGATGAATTGACTCTGGTACATCATTATCACCCAAAGTGCACAGTTAAATTAGGGTTCATCCTTGGTGTTGTACGTTCTGTGAACTTGGACAAGTGGATAATGTCATGTATTCATCAGTATGGTATGACACAAGAGAATTTTTACTGCCCTAAAAATCCTCTGTGCATTATCACCATTTTTAAAAAAAGATTTTATTGGGCGCCTGAGTGGCTCAGTTGGTTAAGCGACTGCCTTCGGCTCAGGTCATGATCCTGGAGTCCCAGGATCGAGTCCCGCATCAGGCTCCCTGCTCGGCAGGGAGTCTGCTTCTCCCTCTGCCCCTCCCCCCTTTCATGTGCTCTCTCTCATTCTCTCTCAAATAAATAAAATCTTTAAAAAATAAAATAAAAAAAGATTTTATTTATTTATTTGAGAGAGGAAGAGCACAACAAGCAGGGGAAGCAGCAGAGGGAGAGGAGAAGCAGGCTCCCAGCTGAGCCAGGAACCCAATGTAGGGCTCAATCCCAGGCCCCTGGGATCATGACCTGACCGAAGGCAGACGCTTAACCGACTGAGCCACCCAGGCACCCCAACATTATAACCATTTTTAAGTGTAGAGTTCAATGGCACCCCAACATTATAACCATTCTTTAAGTGTAGAGTTCAATGGCGTTACAGTATGTTCACACTGTTGTACAACCCTCACCACCATCCACCTCCACAACTTTTCCATCACCCTGGGTGCAGGGATTAATCTGAGGTGATAAAAATGCTTTGGAACCAGACAGAGGAGGCAGTTGTACAACACTGTAAATAAATGAAATGACACCAAACTATTCGCTTTAAAACAGTTTTATGTTATATGAACTTCATCTTAATTAAGGGAAAAAAAAAAAAAAAAGACAGGGCACACCAGGGTGCTCAGTAGTGTAATCAGTGAATGAGTCCTTGCCTTGAAGAAGCTCAGAGGTTCGTAAGGGAACGGTGATGGGCAGGTGGAGCCCAGGTTCTGGGGTTGGAGCAAAGCAGGGCAGCCTCTAGCCCAGTTAAGGACCAAGAAAAGGCTTTCCAGAGGAGAAACTGCCTGAGAGCAACCTTAGAGGATCAGCCAGGGTCTGTGTGAGAGAAGGAAAGGAACATTCCAAGTGAATGCCAAGGTGGGGAAGGGGAGATTCCCCAGACCGGGGGCATGCGAGAGGCAACTAAAATTCTCAAAATTCATTTTTTAAAAATGGTAATCATGTCAGGTGATGGGTTTGTTAATTAACTTAATCATGGTCATCATTTCATGTCTAAGTATATGAAATCATCATGATGTACACCTTAAAAAAAAATCACAACCTAAATATAGTTATTTGTCAATCATACTTCAATAAAGCTTGAAAAAATAAAACATTTAAAAAAATTCATTCAAGTTACCATTACAATACCCCAAATCTAATAGCAACATAATATAATTACATGTAATATTTGTAATATGTAAATACTCATTTATAAACAAAAAAATAAACTGTATTAGTAATAAACAAAATAATAACAGAGCCCAGAGAATAAAGGGAACTTTTAAAATGTCAGAG